GAAAGAGAGACAAGAGAGAGAGAAAGATACTGGGAGAAAGAGGAGAGGGAGGAGAGAGAAAGAGAGGAGAAAGAGAAAGAGAGAGCGATGAGAGAGAAAGAGATACTGGGAAAAAGAGAGAAAGAGAGAGAGGAGAGAGAGAAAGAGATACTGGGAGAAAGAGAGAAAGAGAGAGAGGAGAGAGAGAAAGAGAGAGAAAGAGATGCTGGGAGAAAGAGAGGAGAGAGAGAGAGAGATGAAAAGAGAGATACTGGGAGAAAGAGAGAGGAAAGAGATATGAGAGAGAAAGAGAGAGAGATGAGAGAGAGAGAGGAAGAGATACTGGGAGAAAGAGAGAAAGAGAGAGAGAAAGAGAGAGATACTGGGAGAAAGAGAGAGGAGAGAGAGGAGAAGAGAGGGAGAGGGGGGAGAGAGAAAGAGATACTGGGGGAAAGAGGGGAGAGAGGAGAGAGAAAGAGAGAGAGAAAGAGAGAGAGGCAAGAGAGAGAAAAAGATACTGGGAGAAAGAGGAGAGAGATGAGAGAGAAAGAGAGAGAGATGAGAGAGAAAGAGATACTGGGAGAAAGAGAGAAAGAGAGAGAGATGAGAGAGAAAGAGAAAGATACTGGGAGAAAGAGAGAGAGAGAGAGAGAGAGAGAGAGAGAGAGAGCAGGGAGGAAGAATCAAAGCTGAGTAGGGCTTCTCTTTCTTTCCTCCATTTTTTTTTTTTTAAAGCAATCAGAGTGACAAGAAAGGCAGGCGCATGGAAGCCAGGAGTGGTGTTTGCATCAAGGACTCCTTGCAGAGTAGAAGACTACAAGAAGATCTGCTGAAGAAGGCCATGAACCCAAGATAGAAAAGGCCCAGGCAAGGTCTGAATGCAGCCCAGGGTGCCTACCAGGCTCTTACCACCAGCAAAGTACACTTCTGTGGCAAAACAACGCTGTGTATCATATGTCGCCCTCAAGGAAATCTGACATTTGAGGATGAAGCCACACACCAAGCGCCAGAGCTGTAGCCTATATGAATATTTTATACAGTCCTTCCTGTCTCTTTTTTCTTCTCCCCTTTCCTCTTCCGTACCTTTCAAGTATACGCAGCTCATCGCTTCTTTTCAACTCTCAATAATAAATAAGAAAGTAAGACTGACATGCAGGTGGTCCTTGACTTAAAGCAGTTCATTTAGTGGCAGTCTAAAGTTGCAAAGTTCGGCGCTGAAAAAGGGACTTAGGATCACTTTCCAAATAGCCGATCACCTTGTGACGAGGTTCCATGCAGAAAACCAACCAAACCTAAGTTGTTTTCTTTTTGTCTTGTACAGGTAACTTTCAAGAAGTGAGGGGAGCTAAATGTCAACTAAAAAAAATACTCCTTTGGTCTTTTTAATTGCCAGCAGAAAGGGAGTTGGGGGAAACCAGTGCATTCCTTAAATGCTTCAGATAATTGCTTTGGCAACCACAGTTTCTGGCACGCAAGATTATTACTGAAGAGCATGATTGATGGTTCTTGGCTATGGATGTGTCTCACTGGAGAATATACATCCAGGGGGTGGGGGGAAGACCAGGGTCAAGGGTGAAATGATTGATATGTCAGAGAAATGCCGACATGTCAATTCCTAATAAATCAATCTTTTTTACTCTGAAAGATGTGGCTAGAGACTTATGATTTGAATGGGGGTGCATGTTGGAGTCCTGACAACGATTATTGCAGCATCTCTGTGGTCACGTGATCAAAATTCGGACACTTGGCAACTGGCTCATACTTATGACAGTTGCAATGTCCTGGGATTATGCGATCCCCTTTTGCGACCTTCTTAATAAGCATAGTCCGTGAGGAAGTCAGATTCACTAAACAAACATGTGACTAACTTTACGGTCTTAAGAATGAATGGATTACTGTGCGATAACGCTGGGAGAACTGGCAGATGCTTTGCCCGCTGTTATCTGATTCTCAGTGGACAGTCTTATACAGGTTGGTGTCCACTCTTACGACCACAATTGACCTCAAGTTTTCTGTTGCTGGGTGAGACCGCTGTGAAGTAGAATTTTGCCTCGTTTTATGATCTTTCTTGCCACCGTTGTTAAGCGAATCACTGCTGTTAGCGACACGGTTGCTAGGTGAGTCTGCCTTCCCTGTTGACTTTGCTTGGCAAGGAACACTGCAACCGTCATAAACAGGGGTGGGATTCCAAAGTCCCAGCAACCGGTTCGCTGCCCGGTTGCTGGGTGGGCGTGGCCGTGGTGGGCGTGGCCTGCTGGAAGTACCAGGAGGGCTGTTTTTCGCCTTCCCAAGGGTCTGGAGGCTTCCCTCGGGCCTCTGGGATGGGAAAAACAGCTTCCCCCATGCTCTGGGGGCCCTCCGGAAGCCGGAAACAGGGCCGTTTCTGGACTTCCAGAAGGCCCGTTTTTTCTCCCTCCCAGAGCCTCCGCGAGGGCCCTGCACTTACCTGCATCGAAATTGGGCCACATGGAGACTCCTGGGAGGGGAGGGGAGGGCCAGCCAGTCAGTTCAAATAATGATTCGGCGAACCGGCTGTAACTTTAACATCCGGTTCGCCCGAACCGGTAGAATCATAAACATGAGTCAGTCAGCAAGCATTTGAATTTTGATGGTGTTGAACGCGGGGCATGCTGCAAAAAGTATGAAAAGTGGTCATAAGTCCCCTTTTTCAGTGCCGTTATAACTTTGAACGGTCACTCAATGAACCGTTGTAAGTCAAGGACGACCTGTAATGCTTGTTCTTACCTTTGGGTCCTCTCCTTCTGATGGAAGGACACTTCCCCCTTCCCGCTAAATCCCCAAATCCGGTCCAATGCATTCTAAAGGCCTAGAAATTCTGACGAACTGAACTGTGGGCTCTGCAGAATACGAGGACAACAATTTGCACTTAATTAAGACTCCTGCAATCACCGAGGAAAACTAATATTTTCTTTGATTGGTGTGAAGCAACCCCAACGGAGTTTAAAAGCAAATTATACCCCCCCCCCCCCGCAAAAAAAAAAAAGACTTATAGAAACAGAACAATTTCTCTGGAGAAAGGAACAGCTAAACAGATGGAGTGCTGCCATCTTTCGGCCAAAAAATTAATCACACCCTTGAATTTTCACACATACACACACACACACACATACACATTTAAACTTTTAACACCAATCAAATGCACTGCTAATGCTAATCACCATTAGTGGTAAGTTTTACCGGAAAATTATTCATCATCAGTCATTTCCTTAAAAAAAAAAACCCCACTGATATATGATAATGAAGAAAAACAATCTCTTTCTCCCCCAAGATCATTAATTTAAAAATGTCTTTAATGAGGAAGTATCAGCAGAATTAGTTTTTACTCAGTTACGTGTGTGTGTGTGTGTGTGTGTGTGTGTGTGTGTGTGTATCTGTGTGCAGCTTTTGAAACTGTAGTGATGTCGAAAGCTGCCTAAAGATAAAGCTCTCACTTTTTAAAAGTTTAAAACATAGATCAGTTGGGTCTTGCAAAGAAAGAGATTCACGCCAACATATTCAAACAACCAACGCTATCAATGTTTTTGTGGTTATTATTTATAACCAACATTCCATGCAAAAAGGTGATCATTAAACAATGATAGGTCCTAAATTTTCAGCTAACAGTGGGTTCAATCTAAAGATGTAGACGACTGATGGTCCAAAGCATCACTGTCGTGTCATAGACCTGTCTGTTTGGAATAGCAGATGAATTTTAATCCATGAATTGAAATAAAAAGTGGAAACTAGAAGCCTTCAAACCCATCTCCATAGAAGCCAAGGTTTAAAGGTACCCCATCCTGAGTCCACCTTCAAATACCTGCTCTTCGGATAATGTTTGCGAAGTGCCCACCTTCAGATACATCATCCAGTTCATGGGAAACAAAGATCATCTGTCTGTCTGTCAATCATCTCTTTCTATATCATCTATCTATTATCTCTATCTATCCGTCTATCCGTCTATCCGTCTATCCATCTAATCTATCTATCTATCTATCTATCTATCTATCTATCTATCTATCTATCTATCTATCTATCTATCTATCTATC